ATATGATTACATATTATAACAATAAGAATATATTCAGCTCTTTTCAGTACAAATTGAGCACCCCTTCTCCATAATTCCAAAATCTGAAATAATCAGAAACACAAAATGATTCACACAGTGACAGCTTTGCTTTATGACAATTTAATGTACACAAACTTTGTTGCATGCACAACATTATGAAAAATATTGTACAAAATCACCTTCAAGCTTAGTGCATAAAGTATATTTGAAACATAAACAAATTTCATGTTTAATCTTGGGTTCCATCTCCATACATAATACTTGTATACCTAAATACTGATATTTCAAAATAGCAGGAATAAATCCAAAATCCAAAACACTTCTAATGTCAAGCATTTTGGATAAGGAAAATCAACCTGTATAAACAACTGTACAGTTACTTTTACAGTGGAATGTGGATTCACTCAATGGCAAAGGAGGAATATCACATAATTTAAGTGATGGGTTATGGTCCATTACAGGTACTAAGCCAACACTGAAGTTAAGGGTATGCAGTATGTAGCTTATGGCATTCAAGGTTTCCCCTTCTTAAATGTAATAAAGAGTAGCCATCTTTCGTGAAAGATAATTGTTGCTTTTAAAAAATTTAACTAAGAAACTAAGTCATTGCTGTTCAATGTAGTATACTGCTTGAAATTATATAATTCACCAAAGACCTCTTGGTTCAAGAGTCTTATCAACAGAAACAAATATAAAGTAATAAAGGGGGAGGGGGACAGTAAGAAAAGGATGCTATTTGTTCACAACACGTAAAAAATAAAAAATGAGAAAACACCACTCAACACATCTGACACTAGGCAAGCTAAGTTGTCATAGTTAAAATGTCCTTTATTCTGTGTCTTTTAAAAACTAAATCATAACCATGAGAGAAAATTAATCTATTTGATCAAGATGTGTGGCTGGCTGTCTGGCAGCAAGAACACATTGCTGAGCTAAAGAGATTTCAGAACTTATCAATATAAATGCTAAATGACTTCAAGCTTAGGAGGAAGGAAGTATTGCCTTGAGTTTAAGGCACAGAACCAGGAGTCAGCTGTCCTCTCAATTTGCACTTAACACAGTCAGACAAGTCACTCATCTTCATAGCCTTTAACTGTACGTTTGTCATCAAAGATACGCATGTCCTGTAAGAGCTGATGCTATTTCTCCAAGTAAGAAACCCAGCAACCTTAGTAGCAAGAGTGTCATTATGGAATCAGCTTCTTAGCTTGCGTAATAGCATTTCCAAATATTTTTTGAATCTTTGCTTGTATATGGAAGAACTTGAAACAGAGAGAGAAACAACTGCTCAAACCTTCCTATAAACATGGACATCATTGGACAATGGCATCATCGGTTGGAAGAAGAAAAACTGGTCCATGACACGCAGAATCACATATGACATCTGCTTGAAAAAGTGTTTTCTTTTCAGTTTCTCAAAACTTAAAGAACAAAACTCTTAGAGCACCTTAATTATTGGATTTATTTCAACATATGTCTTATACATTCATCAGATGCATGCAACTTCCGTTTTAGACCATTTTTGCAAAAGTGAACAGACATTCAACAGGCAGTCAAAACTGTATTGGTCAATGCAGTCTGAATTTTAAAACTGCTATAAAAATGTTGTGTTTGTCATGTATTCAAACAGATATATACAATGTTGCTTAGGAGCCCCAGGGGCAAAAGAGTATTTAATAAATACTGTCTATGAATGAATGAATGAATGAATGAATGAATGAATAGGAAGTATTCCATAAGACCTCATGGAAGCAGCTCATTAATTTAACCCACTCGTAAGTTCATTATGAGCCACTCAGATGCATAATACCAAACTATACATGTACCTGTTTTCAGAAAAAAAACTGCTTAAAACCTTGAGTTGGACCTCAACTCAGAGAAGCAGTGACGTCAACGATGCGCCTCATGTGCTTAATGCAAGACATGTTCTTAAGCACTTTGCTGAGATGGAACTTGGTAAAATAGAGATCATACGTCTCTGAGATGTGGCAAGGCTGTATTCATAAATGTTTGTAAAGTGCTCTCAGGTCCTCCAGTAATAGGCACTAGAGAAATATTATTATCATTATTAAAGCCTTGAGATGCATCAAGGCTTTACTGTTCACTCAAAACCTGAAGTTAAGACAAGGTGATATGGATAAGGAGGAAAAGGTAAAAAAAAAAAAGTTATGAACAGAGGCAGTCTGTACCCAGAGAATTAAAATGTGTATTCTAGCCAGACTGGCACAATTCTAAGTGGAATCCTATATCAAGCTATCTGAGATGGTATAAGTGTACAGAGTTGATTCTCCACATCAGCAATGCCATTTCATATGACTATTTTTTTTTTACATCTAAATTACTTATTTCCATTTGTAGAAAAAAAAACTACATCTACATTTCCACATTTGGCAAATGTTGATGACTATTTTATGCTGTGCACAGACATGATGTTGTGGTTTAAACACTGGGCTACAGCTCTGGAGAACAACATTTGAATACCTGCTTAGCTATGAAAATCCACTGGGTGACCTTGGGCAACTCATTCTCTCAGCTTCAGAGAAAGGCAAAACTTCTCTGAACAAAGTTTACCAAGAAAACCCCATGACAGGGTCATATTAAGTTGAAAGCAACTTGAAGGCACACAAGAACAACAAAAAGAGGAAGATTAACCACACTTGCAAAATATAAGCACGACCACCACACCAAATGTATGTCACACAGCATGGTATAAATCTTGCTTTCCCTTAGAGCAGTAGTTCCCAAGCTTTGGTCCTCCAATTGTTTTGGACTTCAACTCCCAGAAATCCCAGCCAGTTTACCAGCTGTTAGGAACTGTGGGAGCTGGAGTCCAAAACACCCGGAGGGCCAAAAGTTTAGAATCACTGCCTTAGAGAGATGGTAGAATGTAGGAAAACTATTTCTTATCCTCATATTCTCCACTTCATTGCAATCCCTAATCCATACACCAGGCTTTTGTTGCATGTCCCCCAACCATCAGAATACATTTTCTAGTGGAAAGCCTGTGTGGTGCTTCTGCAGTTGGTACTTCTCTCGGATGCCTATCTTTAAATAATAATAATAAAACTTTATTTGTACCCAGCCACCATCTCCCCGATGGGGACTCGGTGTGGCTTACATGAGGCCAAGCCCAAACAACAATTACATAAAATAAAACCGAAAACACAAATAATGAACAATAATAACGTAATTACATAAAACAAATGAAAACATAGCAATATAAGATTACAATAAGCACAATCACAATGACAATGGGCAAGCTACATGTAATGGATAAAAGAAAGGCTGATTAAAAGCAGAATAAAAACTCAGGCGAGATAAAACAGAGACAGATTATTTGCGGAGGAGAGCTCATTATAGTGGAGGTTGTGGAACCAAGCTTTCCCATAAGGGGGGAATGTACTCCAATGATAAAAAAACGTTGAGGCTAAACACTAGTGTGAGGATATAAATCTATTCATCAAATGCGCAGTGGAAGAGCCAGGTTTTGAGGTTCTTTTTAAAGGTTTCTAGGGTAAGGGTTTTCCTAATCTCTCCAGGTAGTGAGTTCCAGAGTCGGGGGGCCACAGAGGAAAAAGCTCTCTCCCTTGTACTCACCAGGCGAGTCTGTGAGACTGGCAGGGGCAAAAAAAGGGCCTCCCCAGAAGAATGGAGGGCCCGAGTTGGTTTATGGAGGGAGATACGGTCATAAAGGTAGTTGGGTCCCAAACCGTTTAGGACTTTATAGGTGATAACCTGTGCCTTGAATTGGGACCGGAAAATAAACAGCCAGTGGAACTCCTTGAACAGGAGGGTTGACCGCTCCCTGTAAGTTGCCCCAGTTATTAGTCTGGCTGCTGAATGTTGGACAAGTTGTAATTTCCGGGCCGTCTTCAAGGGTAGCCCCACGTAGAGAGCATTACAGTAATCCAGTCTAGAGGTAACTAAGGCATGGACCCCCATGGTCAAGTCAGACTTCATGAGGTAAGGTCACGAGGTCAGACTTCATGACTTAATTGTGGGAAGGCCCTCCCGGCTACCGCCGACACCTGCACATCAAGCGTCAGTGCTGAGTCCAGGAGGACCCCCAAACTGCAGACCTGTGATTTCAGGGGGAGTGCAACCCCATCCAGCACAGGTTGCTACCCAATAACCCGATCAGCCGAATGACTGACCTGGAGGACCTCTGTCTTGTCAGGATTGATCCTCAGCTTGTTCTTCCTCACCCAGGTCGTCACAGCAGCCAGGCGGGGCTTCCTTGGAGTCAGATGGAAAAGAGTAGTGGAGTTGGGTGTCATCTGTGTAGAGATGGCACCGCACTCCAAAACTCCGGATGACCTCTCCCAGCAGTTTCATGTAGATGTTAAATAGCATGGGGGACAGAATAGAATCTTGCGGAACCTTGCGGGACCCCACATGTCAATGGCCAGGGGTCCGAGCAGGAGTCCCCCAGCTTCACCAACTGGGAACGACCCTCCAGGAAGGACCGGAGCCACAGTAAAACCGTGCCTCTGAGTCCCATCCCAGCGAGCCTCCCCAGAAGGATACATTGCTCTTCATGGCACAAATGCCTGCATAAGGGGATCCATGAATGTACAGCTGTATGTATATTAGATTGCATACATCTGCAATGTACTGTACATGTGAACACTGGAAGAGAGCTGCATATGCCCACATATATATTAATATCACCGGATTCCGGAATGACTGTCTAAAGTTCAACTTTTGCCACAATTCTACTTAGGTCAGTTGGGAACTTAAGCAGTCTGAAAGCAAAAATGAGCAAATGTCTTTTTCTTGTCAAATAGTTTAAGATTAACATCACCAAAGAGAGCTCCCTGACGTTACACATGCATACATATACAAGTTCAGTTTTGCTACATGAAGAACAAATCTGTTCTGACCTCTTGAAAAGGAGTATTTTAAGCCTGCCAGAAGAAAAATCCTAAATGGAACATCAAAGTAATTACTATGTCAATTTTAAGAAAAGGGGAAATTACCTTGGGTCGGAAATCTTACGTTGCTCTTTCTCAGCAGCTTTTGTTGTCTAGCTTTCTCTACTATGGAAAAAAAATATATTTAGACAGTATGAAAACTCTACTTGTGCGATGTTCATGTAGAAGAGCAGTAAAAATATATCTTTTTATCCTTAGAATCCAGAGAAATATGATTGAAATGTTCTTGACTGAATTCAGAGTCCCACTATCCAGTTTCAAAGGTTTCCTCCACCTCTTTCCCCCAGGGAAAAGCATCCAAGACTTGGGAAGTCTGAAGGTGGAAAATGAAGTCTGCAAGAACACACTTGCTCAAGAAAACCTTTGCTGGGTCCACGTTAGGTCAAAATTAAAACTCTAGCACTGACCCATCCCAAGTTCTAACAGGAACTATGTCGAGCACTACTCCCCTTTCAAATATATAGGGTTGTGCTGTAAAATAGAAGTTTTGTCCATTATGATCAACATTCTTACCTAATGGATTTTCTAGAAAATCTCTTTGAGTCGTATGATGGCATGAGTCAAATAAATTATGAGTGATCTGTATTGCATTATGATGTGCTCCAATATCTGCTATGGATGCTCATACAAAATGTAAATTTTAATTATGTGAAAGAAGATATATTAAACATCCTACAGAAAGGAAAAGAAGAAAAGTATTTCTTACTCAGCTTCCTAGTTTTTCTCACTTCTTCTTTTATGTTACCAGAGTTGTCTGAAACTCCAACAATATTCTCAAGCTCTCTGATGCCCTCTAAAGCCTGAAAGAAGAATTTAATGTAAGAAAAGAATGACATTTCTATTACTTTATACTTGTTTTGCTTCTTTAGTTTAAATAGCCAAGACAACTGCTAATATCTGACATTAGAAATTAAATGGTTGTGTGCATGCCCAGTTTTATCTATGTTGTGAAGTTCAAAGACATGTCAGGCTTTTGCAGTCTGAAGAAATTATTAACAAGGGAAAACAAATTGCTACCCATCACATTTCTAAATTGTTTACTTGCCTGAATGCCAACTGCCTGAGCTGTTTCTCAGTTTACCCAACCTCTCTGTATCCTGACACATATACTCTGCAAGGCAAAAGAACTAAGACGTTGGCTGTAGGATACATTTCATCCCAGCCCAGCATCTCTTCTCCCTTGCCTTGCCATTGGAATCTGACCCGACCAACTCTCAAGTATTAATTTATTTACTGTATTTATAAGCTGCATTTCTCCTGGTGAGATGCCCAAGGAGGCATGGAATGACTAGCAAAATATGTTTGCAATATCTGGACTACAATAAGTTACTTTTTAAAGACTACAACTCCCAGTATTCCAAATTTGGTTAGCAGCTTCTGGAAACTGTAATCTCAAACAAGTAACTATTCCAAGCTGAGGTACTATGTAGAAGCCGTGAGCAAAGTAATCCAGATAGTACTATCTGCTGGACAGAGTACGTTTAGGATAGGGGAGCAGTGGATAAGTAAATAGCAAATGCATATCAACAGCCAAAAATTTAGAGAAACAAGCCTACACATGACCGAGTGAATGTTGTAATCTACAAAGATAGATTTCCCATGGTGTTGTAATGTCTCTACTTCCAGCGCTGGAAAAATACCCATATTTACTTTAGTGTGCTACTGCATGCAATGCGCACCCTAATTTTAAAACCCTAATTTGCAAAAAAATATTATCTGGCAAATGTAACGTGGTTCCCAACTGACTTCATTCACCAGCCAACTTTGGCCAAGCCTTTGCCTTCCCTTCCACACTTTTCAAAACCAGCTTTACCTCCACCTCTTGCTGTCCTCATGGATTGGCTTCTTTCTCAGCGCTAAACGAATCCTTGGGAACATCCAGCCACATCTGACCCAACAGCGCAGGCAAGGCAAGGACCTAATGGAGGGGCTAGGCTTCCTCTTGCCTCTTGCCCATTCTACTGCCTGCATTCCTGATTAGAAGCAAGGTCACATCAGGGAGACAGGCAATGGAATAGCAATAGGCAAGAGGCAGCCAAGCCCTCTAGCTGCCTGTTCAGCCAATCAGCCTCTGGGGCCTGCTCCTCTCCCTCCATCAGATGCCTTTTCCTTCCACTCCTCCTGGGCTCAGGCAGAGATGGTCACTTCCCTGCTGCCTGAAGCAACAGCAACAGCGCCTTCCGGCAGCGAGGGGTGATTATACCTTTTGGGCAGTTCTGTAGGCAAAGGGGGAGGGCACCATATACAAACTCCATTCTAATGTGCATGCTAATTTTGGAGACTTAATTTTGTGAAAAATGTGAGCATTCGATTCAGGTGATACAGTAATTCCCCAAAAACTTATTTTGGAGGAATTTGCTAAATCCAAGGCAGATCATATCGTAGGAACACTTTAATCTTGTAAAATAACCAGTCAGGGCATTAGACACAACTCCACAGAAAAGCACACAATGGATACTTGCAGGTCTCAAGATGGAATGGGGTACTTTTAGAAAAGTGAGGACCAAACTGGCTCCTTACTATTATGACATACAGATATTATATTGGAGGTCTAGAAAGAGATGTACTCAGTGCTGAAGACTTTCTTGAGGAAGCTCTTCACATCTTATCAAACTCATTTTTGAATCGTATTTCCCTCTATGGTGGGAAGCAACAAATTGCACTCTGAAAAAAGTACAACCAGAACAATCTGAGAGGCCCTCTATATTTGTTGAATTTGTTTAATTCTAGAAATACCTTTTCAGAAATATTTTTAAAATAACAAAACTTGATAAAACGGCACACTTAAGAAAAGATCTCTCTGGAATTTTCTCTCTAAAAGTTCTTCTTTATTAATATCTTTTATAGGCAGCTGGCTTACCATATTAAAAAGGCAAAAAGTACACAGCATTCTTCCTGTAAAAAGTTTGGCTTTTTTATTTGAAGAAGATACAAAATGCATGGCAGATTTGTTATTTTAAACCAGCTGCTTCATCACATGCTACAAAGTCTTCTATCAGTCACACATTTGGCTAGAAGTGCCCAAAAATAAATTCTATAGCAGAATTAAACTTTGGAAGCTAAAAAGTAGTTTCATCATTTATTTAGCAGGAAAGGCAGGCACTCTCACAATACTTGGGTTAGAGATGGAAAGGCCTGGAGAAAAACTGGAAAAACTGGGATAAAAAACAGATTTTTCCAAAGCCCTTTTCCCCAGAAAAATGGAAAAGATAAGTGTATAGAAACAAAGTCTCAGAAATCTTCCAGGTCTTCATGTTATATGAATTGAATACCATGTCACAGATATATTATTTATCATTGAAAAAGAACATATTCTACACACTTCTCAATTTTCATGGCTTTGGAAAAAAGCAGAAACAATCCTGTGTCCCCCCCCCCCCCCCAATTTTCCATTTTTTGCAGGCCTTCCCATCTCTAATTTGGCCAAACAGCATCACTATAAAGGTCAGTAGTTATGAGGAGGTGGGAGCATATTTATTGATGTGAGGGGTATTTCGGTATAGAGAAATACCCCTCTTCCATTCCAACCCAATTCTCTAGTCACTTTACCCATAGTGAGCATCTGTAGAAAAAGCTTTTTAAACTGCTACTCTGGAAACCAGATTTTCAATATATTTGTATTCAGCTAACAATATGTAGTGTATATTGCAAATCTCAAGCTGTTAGAAAATGAATACCTTAAAAAAATTGCTCAATTAAATGGAACTGGAGAAAAATAGTAAGAAAGACTTCAGACCTGTAGACTGGTTAAGTTTTTTCTGATATGGATGAATCTTTCTAGAGAATCTTCAACAGCAGACTGTAGCATTAAAAGTCTAAATATAGAAAGTAACATGGTATTACTTATTTAATTTAACTGAAACATTTTTAAAAAGAGCCAAACAACCAAACATCAAATGACACTGAAACAATAACCAGCCTGTGCTTTCAGATCTTCCAGGGAATTCTTCCTTTCTCTCCTGCCACTCTCACAGGAAAATCCAATTGGAAATGCGGAAGAGAGCATTTTCAGCTGGTGTCGAAACTCCTTTTGATTTTGCTAATAGTGCTGGTATGTGTGCACACTTATGTGTTCAATTAAATATGTTTTAAACTTGTTTTTATTTTTTTTATTATTCAACTTGTTTTTAATTTTTGATTGTTTTAACTTTTGTATCTTAGATTTTTCAATGATATGTTTTTTATTTGTTTCAAGCCACTGGGAAATAACAAACAAAAACAATAATAGTTATTGTAGATGATACAGAACTCTTGGCAATTCTACAGCATCCAAAAGCTTGCAATGAGCCCAGTTTCAATAGATAGAAGCTCGACAATTCATGAAAAAAAATCCTCTGTAATAAAGTAAAAAGATGGCAGGAGCTCAAGCCATGTTATGCCTTTTCTTCTCATAGGATATCACTTTACCTGTAGTGACGTAAAACCCTGGCTTGTTCACAGCAAGTGAAACAACTGAAACATTGCCACAGAACAAAAATAAGCTTGCTGTACAGTAAAAAAAAAAAAAGATCAGTAATCACAAAGGCAAAATACATATAAATGAAACTACCTATGACAATGAGGTCATAAATAAGATCTGTCAATTAGTGAATGCTATTTTTCTTCAATGCTTAAAGCTTTTGAAAGGCTGAAAGTGGACAGCTTCCATGGTCAATCCTGCTATATCTAGCTCTCACCAAAATGTGGACGTTCAGCAGACACAAAAGAACCATGTTTGGAAGTTCTTCCTCTTTAAAATAAGAGACCTAAAGAGGCTGTTTCTTTCAAAGTACACCTCCTTTAAAACAATATGCTTGACTTCCTTGGTAGCTATGGAGTTGCAAAAATTGTTTCTTTAACAGCTCTGATGAGGACATAGAAACTGAGTGAGATTTAGCCCTGCTGCAAGTAGCACAATAGGATAAAGATTGCATCTCTGGTAAGATTCTGAAGAAATATAAATCCCTGTTTTTTTAAAAAAATATATCTTAAAATCAAGATCTTTATGGTGGTAATCAGAGCATTTTTTATTTTTACAGTTTCTCCCAACAAACCTGCACTTTCTTCCACTGTCTGTGGGACTGCACTCAAGAAATAGAATTCTGTTCTTACAGAAAAATGCAACTCATGCAAACACTGGTTTGCTCACATTTCACTGAAGGGAAAAGTGATGTTTTGCAGTATGTTCACCTACTCCTGCCAAGTCTTCTGAGATAATGTAAATAATCATCTATACATGATCTATCAGTTCAGGTCACTTTTGCATCCTCTGCAAGATATATTGTTTACACACAATACTTAGTAACAAAAGCTCCAACTGCTCAATTGGTAATGCAACTGCCCCTACACATCTGTGGTACCAAAAAGCACTGCTAATGAAAGGTGGGCATAACCTTTGCCATATATTACTATTCCAATCTAACATCTTTTCAATATTGCTATTACTCACATAAGAAAGTCAATTAATGCTCTTTTCATTTAATTTCCAATGGAAAAATCACCACGACTCCCATCTGTATCATGTATCTTACACTATTTTGTCCTCACCATCCTGAATCAAAACAGGCCCTTACGTGTCATTCTGACTCATGCTAGGATGCCCCTTTCTGGCTGATTTGATCATGTCACTTGCTTCTGTTTGGGGTTGTGCCTTTCTCGATGATCTGATCAAATCTTTTGGTTCAGTCGTCTTTCCTAGGAATAAGACATTAAATAAACAAAAATTTATTTCTTTTCTGTGCAAAACTGCTAGTAGTTTTTTTTTTTAAAAAATTGAAATTTCCTATCTTGAATGCAACACAAATTTGCATATTCATTTGCAAAAAATGTATTTTGCTAAGCAAATGTGCCACTGACTTGGAATTGATTGATTATAGCTTGTCAAACAAATGTAATTACAATAGAAAGAAAAGACAAAAATTGACACAAAAATAAGAAGAGGAAATGTTGGTGGACAGTTACGTGTGACCTAGTGCTAATGCTGTTGTACTGGTATAAGAAATAAGGGACCCACAGAAACCAAAGCTATTAGAAAACAAAGGCTGAGTCTAAAAAACATAGGTGTGAAAACTGTATATTCTGGAAACAGATCATTTTGAAAGGGCGAAGGAAATTGGAGAATCAACCATTGCTCTCCACTTTTAATTCCATCCATAACTTCTTCTGCCTCTCCAACTCTAGAATGAAGAGCCTAGAATCTAGAGTATGTCATCAACTGGCGGGAAGTAGAATCAATGGAATGGAAGCTTTTGTAGACTGGATTCCTTATCTTGAGCCAGACCTTGAAACAACTGGCAGTTCCTGCACTCCCCCTGCACAAGGAAGGGCTTGGAAGTTGACCAGGGCTCAGAAAACAAGTTGGTTTTATTTTATTTCCCAGAATGGCTCTTGATATGATATAGGAAGAAATGTTATTTTCGATTCAGAAAATGCTGTTTTCTTTGCAAAACAACCACATACTATTTTTTCTTTAGAATACATCTCAAACTGCAAAGATTCTCAACAGTCCAGGATTCTTCTTGTCTGCATTCTTGACAATCGAGAATTATGTTCTTGTACAATTTTTCCTTTATGTTCAAATACACTAATTAAACCCTAACAAGGATTACAAAGACACACATTTTTATGTTGGTTAAGTTAATGAAAGTATGTGCAAAAAAGCACAGAAAGAAATGATCATGTCATTCCTTTGATCAACACATACTTAGTATGCAGGGCCATTATAGCATTTTTAAAAAGATGATTCTCTATAGGTAGGATGCATCCCTAAGAAGAGAATATGGTGCTCTTTAATAGAAAAAAATTTGTTTTGACCTAGAACACTGCTTCTTAAACTGTGGGTCCTGACCCCAAAGGAGTCAATGTTGAGATTGCAAAAAACTGGCAACACTAAAAGGTTTCTGAACACCACCAAGTAACTGTTAGATATTTACACAAATCTATGCAGTGTTTATAGTAGACTCTGCATATGATGCTTCAACTATACTATTGTTAAGGAAAACTTGCAAATTCTGGTTTGCTATCAGTAAATGTTTTATTTTATTCCTATTTCATATACCTATATAACTGGGGTTACATAAAATTTCTGAAGTGGAAAGGAGGTGTAAGTGGAAAATAATTAAGAAGCCCTGATCTGGAGGTAACACTAGATCTCTGGTGGGTTATAAATGTAACAGGGAAATCCAAATGTCATGTTGTTTCCAAAACCATCAAACTAAGAAAACCACAAAACAAAAAGCCTATAGGAATGTAAGGCCACAGCAATTCTGGACTGTGACCACACATGCCCTTCTCTGTGGAGTTGACATCCTTTGTGCATGCAACATGTTACCAAGCATCCAGCTGACACAACTATGTCAAACCGAGGCAGCACAGTGCTTTTTAGTGTGGCCTCTCTTTTGAGTTTTGATACTGCATAGAAGAAAATCTAACAAGGCTTTTTCTGAATCCAGTGCTGTCAAACCTATGCTGCTTTATTTCTTCCCACTTATCCAGGCTGTGGGAAACAAAAAGGAGCAGGGGAGGGGGAGGGAAAAAAGGAACATGACTGCATCTTTAAGATTGAGTAGTTTGGGTTTTAGCACAAGCTTTTGTGAATATAAGTCTTCTTCAGATGCAATGCAGAATAATATCAGAACTTTAGATCTTGTAAAGTATATTTATATAGTTGTGGGAATGAGATATAATGTAATAAGCTCTTGGAGCTTAAGATCATCTGGGGAAGCACTACTCTTGGTCCTGCCTCCTTTGCAGGCACGATTGGCAGGGACGAGAGACAGGGCCTTCTTAGTGGTGGTCCCTTGGCTGTGGAATTCCCACCTCAGGAATATAAGATCAGCTCCCTCCCTCCTGACCCTTAGTAAGAGAGTGAAAATGTAGCTTTGTGACCAAGACTTTGGTGAACTTGTGCAATAAATAGATATGGAATGATGTGCAATGACTATTTGAGAAGCCTGGATTACACTTGAGGATTACAAGATTAATTGTGAAGGTATTGTTTTAAATGTTTTTAATTGTTTTAATATATTTTATAATTCTATCTAAATGTTTATTTTACTTGTACATTGTTTTGCAGCATTGAGTAGTGGCCTATGTGTAAGCCGTCTCCTGGGTGGAGAAAGGCGGAGTAGAAATGTCATAAATAAATAAGTAAAATCCAGAAAGACGCAAATTATGTCCCTTTCCCTAAATTTTCAAATGGTTGAGCATAGAGATACAGATCTTCACAATGGGGGGCACTTAGTGCTGATATGTGAAATCTGCCAATCAAAAGTCAAGTTTCCCTGGCTTCAAAACTCTCACCAAGACGATTTCATATATTATATGTGCAGTAGTGAGCATTCTTGTATCATTATAAGTAGTGCACAATGAAGCCATTCTTTTAATTTATACTTCTGCAAATGGGTTCAATTTTAAAAATATAGTTCAATTCAGCTATTTCTCTTTCCAGGAAGCTCTGCAATTTCCTTGTTGAAGGACTGTGATCTGTAAACTCCTTACTGTATGTCCAGGGGTTTTGAAATGTTTCGCACATTTTTGGGTACTGTCATTTCTAATTTCAGATTTGTGTCCATTTGTCTGAAGTAGTGGCTGGACTGGGGGAATGAAACACATTAGTGAGTGGAACTCACTGTCTCAGAGCATGATGAAGGCTTCTTTTTTTGAAGGTTTTAAACAAAGACTGAATGGTCATCTGTTGGGGATGTGTTGACTGTGCTATTCCTGCATGGCAGGAGGTTGGACTGGATAGCCCATGTGGTCTCTTCCAACTCTATGATTCTATGATGCATGAATGAGTTGCAATCCCAACTACTTGGGGTATCTTGGTCTTAAGCGGTAGGTTTTTACCTGCTGATGACGCAAATGAAAATGCTAGGAATGCTGTAGCCAAAATAATAAATGAAACTACTTTAATTTTTTTACTCTCAGGAGGATAAAGTGACTGCTATGAAGGGCCTGAACTTCAAAATATACCACTACAACACTCATTAAAGAATTTTCAATACAACTTTCACAAATATGATTACACAAGAAGGATTTTCAGGATTTCTACAAACATTTGATTTGAAAGGGGCATCTCTTTTCTAAGACATCACACACTATTCCATTGTAGGCAATTTTGACCTTCTCTGGCAGACATTTTCTAAATAGTGTACACACAGTCCTTAAAAATATTTACTTAACCAAGTTGAAACAAAATTTCAAAAGCCCAAGGCTTCCAAATTAAAACACTCAAAGCTTGTGTTGCCTATTATAATAGATGTTTGTTGCCGAGTCCAAGAAGTGTGTTAATCAATGTACTACTTAATGTGCATGGTACATAAAAGGATCTGATCAGTAAATACAGTACTTCTAATGAAAAAGTAAAACACATGATTTCTATTGCAAATCTATCCGTCTAATGTGAAGACTCAAGGCTTCATAAAAAATGAGCATAACGTAAGTAAATGTGACACACCTTCAGGGATTTTAAAATATAAAAATGCTTTGGATGTTAACTACTATATCTTTATTGTAATAAAAACAGAAATGATATAACTCCATTCATATCAGTATCAGTAGCAAATTAATTTTAACATTTGATGAGAAAAACAAAGTAATACTTCAGGGAAAGCTTTCTTGTGAGAATTTGGATTCTGAGTCCTTGACACCATTTTGTAGCTTGATGAAACTCGAAAAGGAAAGCTATTGCTACTTTGTACTTTGCTGAATAATTATCCATCTAAATGTCAGCTGCGGACACGTGATCTCTCTTTTTATGTGCAAAAGGACTGTTCCCTTATGCCCATATTTAATTACAATATGGAAATATAGCACACACTCACCTTTGCCTTTGACATCCCAATACACAACCATTTCACTCCTTCAGGCATTTCCCTCCTTTTTTGTCAGAAATAAGAGTGGAACAAAATCCCAACATATATCTCTCTCTGTCTTTTACACACATATATGCACATTGGAAAACAACCTTCACTGGGACTCATCATAAGAGTGGTGAAAGCAAAATCCATATGTTCTCAAACATAGATTATTGGGTCAAGAATAAACAAAAGAGACATATCTGCCAACTGCAGCATCTGGAGATTTAAATGTTACATATTACATTATTATAAATGCTAGTTAGAATTATGATCAGTTTTTAGCTGAAGAGGTCTGAATCAAACAACCAAAGATGCATCTTTATAAATTCCTGATTTGTCAAAGTATATTTTTCCCTGTACACAGCTATTTGCTTTGCACAAGATAGCAGGACTTTGTATAGCCAATATTGTCCTTATTTTCAACTAACCCATGTTAGTCACATGGAAAACTGAATGAGTTTCCATTCTTGACTTCTACAACAATTCTTTGCTCACATATTTCAAATGAAATGAATGTTCATCCTATGCTAAAAATAAGGCAGCTGGGATATGAATAGTTTTGGCTACTATGGAAATGTAGCTAATTCTGGGCCAAGTTGCATAATGAAATTTAAACCTCAGTCCAGAGAATGCAACCATACTGTATCAAAATAAATGTGCATATAAAATAATGCAAAACCAACCAATAAATACAATTTACCAACACACATACTTCAGGAACCATAAGTCTACAATAATGACCAGGAAGCTAGAGCAACCAGTAACCAGGCATTTTAATTCTAAATATCAATTCTAAATATCTGATTTGTTCCTGTTTGGTAGCAAGACGCCTTC